TGGATCAAAAACATAAAATAATGACGTAACTGGATGGAATCTAATATTAATAATGTAGGCCTACGCATGTGTTTTAGACGTTTTTTGACAGTTGCAATAAAATAATAATAGAAACAAGTTTTTTTCGTGTCATTTGTTTGTTTATGTCCATATCGTTTCTATTTTATAATTCCTTAAATCACAAACGTTACTCGTATTATAGTAAAGATTGTTTTTATGGATAGTTAATTAGTATTAAGGACAAAAGTTGTTTTGAAAAGCAGAATTGTATCTGAAAAACACAGGCTCAATAAAGATCTTTTTATTTTTTTATAACTTAGGTCTCACATCCCATGTTAAAAGCAACCACATTTGGTGCATTGCTACAAGAAATTATTTTGTGTTGGTTTTTCTATTCCTGTTCTATAAAAAGTCAAAGTGTGCCTGACTACAAAATACCATGAAAAGCAAATAAAAAAAAAACCATAGCCGAATGTAAAGTTACAAGAAAATTTATTATAAAGCTACAATTATTGTTGGTTGTTAGTCTAAGAGTTTTGGTGTAACAATAAGGTGGTACAATTACCTTTGTTCCTCCGGCGAATTTGTCAGTTTATACAATTAAATTAACTTAGCAGCAAAGCTGTAAAGTAAACAGGGACAGATGTTGTTCCAAGCAACGAAATTATTTTGTAAACAACCACAAGAGAATGGTTGGGTGAGGATCTTGGCCCCCCTACTTTGTTGTAAAAAATATATATGAGAAAAAAATAAAACATATTAAACATGAGCAACAAATATACAAACTATGAATTGTTTTTCAAATTACATTGATTTGGCGAAGTTTGGAGTTTGTGAAACGTTCCCAAGAAAATTTATAATTACAAAATATCTTAAATTATCTTCACTTGTTATTAGCTCTTTATTAACTGCGTTTTAAGTTAACTGCAATGATTTTTCATAATATTTGTCAAAGATAATATACTTTATAAACTAAAGTAAAAGTTTAATTATTAGAGCAGATTTTATGTGAACACAATGTTTATTGATTAATGTTGTTGATTAATTTTTGGTGTGTCAAACATTGCATATATACACATAAAATCATTTTACTTCAACTTTAATTTGTAAAGATATATATAAAACTACGTTGTAGTTATGATTGGATTTTATTTAATAAAAAATTAGGTTGAGGAGATCAAACTTTCCTGGTTACCATACGGCCATTACCATTTACCTTTACATGGCAAGTAGTTAACATATATGTATAAATTGCAAAAACCGCCTTGAAAGTATAATAGAATTTAGAATTTATAATTACACTATTGTCACAGACTACGGAATAGTATATTTCATTACTAGGACCAAAAGTGGTATTTTCCGACGCGCGCCTAGTTTCATATGTGAGGCAAAGCCGAACACAAGAAACCCAAATTTCACGTGCGAGGCAAAGCTGAGCAGGGGCCCTATTTTTGAAATGGTTGACTGTTGAGTTGAGTGTCGAGTCATTCTATTTCCAATCGTTTCGTATTTTTGAAACGGTTGACGGTGGACTTATACAACCAAAACTACTCAACACCTATCGAGCTGTTGAGTGAAGGTTGACTGCACTTTCTTCTTCCTCTCCTTCGGCAAAAAATTACTCTTTTTGAGACGACGCCATATTGTTTTGTTATTGCTTTAATTTACTAATTGCGATTTAGAGGTTATGTATTTGTTGTCAATGTATTAGCACCCAATTATGCGATTGTTTTCTGTAGAATAATCGCATTTTAATTTTATTTACTGTGTCAATACTAGACTATTTAATCAAGGGTTTTATTCTTGTTGGAATGTTTGAAATAGACTAGGCATACTAATTGAACTTATTATAAGATAATTATTGTTATTAGACCTATGATTTAAGGTATTAAAGATTGTGGTAGAGAGAAACAATATCATAGTTTGTTTCAATACCATTCACCTAATGAAGGGATCAAATTAATTTAAGTTACGATATGCTTTCAGTGCAATGGCAAATAGCCGCTTTAACCTAAATAAAAAACAATTAAAAATAACATAAAACAAACCGATGAAGGAAACTAAAATAAGGTGATGTGTTCCGAAATAGAGACGAAGAAAGCAAATAATAATGTATTTAGGATGAGTGTAGGACCTAAAGTAAAGTGCAGCCTATGCCTAAACTTATAATTAGCTACACCCTAAAACAAACATCCATAGTAAATTTTATTTTTTATACTTAAGTTTATTACTTTATTTAGTTTACTTTAGTTTATTACTTAAGTTAAGGTACTTTGCAATCACTAAGATTAAGCAAGACATAACCTCAATCTCAATCTCTCAAGAACGGAGTTGACAGTTTACCTCAGTGTCTCGAAATATGGCAGATTGAGATTAGCTGCCAGATTTTAGAGTAAGAAGAGGTTAAATTGAAGTCCACAAGAACTCTGCATTGTGATTGGTTCAAAATGACGTCATCTGAATTTTTGACGGTCGTATGCTCTACATTTCCACCACGAGTCTCTCAACTAGTGATTCCCAACTCGCTTCCCAACTGTTGGGTTTCAAAAATACCAAATCATGTTGTTGGTTGAGTTGAGTGCTGACGATTGACTCAACAGTCAACCATTTCAAAAATAGGGCCCCAGGTGAGAGTTATTTTCATGTACGAGGCGAAGCCGAGGACGGGAATATTGGAGCAAGTGTCGGAAAAATGCTTTTGGTACGAGTTAAGAACGATACTTTTCATCACGACGCAAAAATACACTTATGCAGAGTAACATATCTCAGTAGCATTATTAGACCACTCTTTATCATTGAAAATTCACTTCACAGCTTAAATATATGGCTTCATAATTGTAATTATTTACATAAATACATAAATACTTCGTTACTTACGTCAATTAACTTAACATTTTGTAACTTTAACCAGTGTCCAAGCTTTCTGTATTCCTCTTCTTATCCTGCCGGTGATTTATCTGGTGAAATGTGATAAGTTAAGTTGTTTTAATCAAATCATCAATAATGTTAGAAAAACTTTGAGCAATTCCAAACATGCGCTATGTTAAAAACACAGCAAATGAAACTAATGCCTGTTTCTGAATGGATTTAAATTGTTCAACAATAAAAACAGCTGTTTCAAATCATTAAATTGAACCTTAACACTAGCGCACGTAGTGAGTAAATAGAGAACTAATCGAGAGCGAGGGAAAATCAGCTGATCGATTTTCCCTCTTTGGGAAACAGCTACTTTCATTGAAGACAGCTGTTATCGAAAATAGTTACTTTCGGCGAAGAGTGATGAAAACCAGCATTACAGTAGTATTATATTGTCTGTGCTATTGTGCAATTTTAAATATAGTTATATTTATAGTTTCAAGTCAGTTTCATAGTGGCAGAGTACAATATATTGTCATAGACTTTAACATATCATACTGTTTAAAGTTGTACAATTTTTATGAGTCAGCAACATCTAATTTTAAGGTACAACAATGTGCAGTTAAACTTGAGTGTAAAACTGTACAATTATTACAACAAAACTGAATGATCCTTCCAAACAACTACCTACTTATCTTTTAAGCCATAGTCAAAAGTTTGACTAAACAAAGACTCTTGACAGGTTTGGTAATGTAAGCAATTTTACATAACCCAGAAATCCAGATGTCTATTAGTAGTTGGATGCCCATTGCAGTTTAGTCCAGTATTCTAGTGTTTCAGGTTTAGTACTTATTTATGGTTTAAGGTGAAATCATTCCATACATAAAAGAATGTAAACACTAGATTAAGTCACCTTAGCTATGCTGACAGTGCAGTCGTCAGGTGATGTCTCAGTTGTTGATCTGTTAGTTTGTCAAACAGTTGCTACAACACAACACGTCTAAGATTGCACCACACTTCTTGTTGAGACCGCAATGATAGCTTTGGAAGTAACAATTACTGTATAGCTAAGATTGCACTATGTGATGTGAATATAGATAGACTTTCCATGTAATGTAAAAATCTGAAGCCAAAAGACGTGGTGCAGTCAGTTGAGATGATCTACCATCTAATGACAATATTCTGTGTCAAGTGATAAATCAATCAGCTGTTTGATATAGTAGAACTGAGTGGGTAATTTATGTAGCTTTTTTACTGGCCGAGATCAGCTGTTTCTTCAGCCAGTGCCATTTGAAAGCCAATTAAAAAGATATTCAAAAGATAAGATAAGGTCCTTATTTTACACCAGAGGGTGTTTTTAAGGCCAAGAAAGGGAGCGTTGAACATGGATGGGATGAGTTAAGCGCTCTATGGTTGAGATGATATTTTTTTTCTTACTAAGATCAGCTGTATTTTTAACCAAGGCAATTTATTATGAATTTATTATGATGAAATTTTTTAACCAAGGCAATTTATTATGATGAAAAGATCAGCCGGTTCAGTTTTGAACCATCTATCAAAAACAACTGATTTTTCCCAGAATTTGGTCTGACGATATTCTTAGGCGAGCACCATAACTAACTATTCTTTCACTAAATTAGTTCCCTTATTGGTTTGGAATTTGAAAAATGTTTGTTTTGAAAGCTGGTTCTCATTCAATCTTTTATAGTTCAAATAGTTTTGATCCAAACTGTGAAAAAGGTTAGCGCAGTTAGTGAAAGGTTATGAGAGTAGGGAAAACTCGATTATTTAAAAATAACAAGGCTGAAATGTTTAGAACTCTGATCATCAAGGAAAGTTATTAGATTAAGTGTATAAGATAACAAAATATTTTCTCTTTGGTTTTCAAATTATAGCCATTAGATATGTTGATAAACAATATCACAAATAACATGTTCTAGTTTTTGGTATGTTAACAAATTTTTGTTTTATGGATTTGTTAAGGAAATTCGCTACCTTTTAGATTGAGTGTATTTTAATTTCATTCAGTTTCCTTATATTAAACAGGTATGAAGATCTTTGGCTTTTTATCTACTGTATAGTGTTTTCTTTTGACCCATAGCTGCATTAAATTGGTTTTATTATTTAATAAAGTCACAATATATAAAGGAAAGGCTTACTTTATTTTATACAATATTAAACATAATAATACACAAATACATTACAATGATTATCAATGGTAATCTATTAAATAGAACTCCTCCAATAATTCACTTCTTTGGTTCTTGAACTTCTGCTGTAGATCTGAAAACAAAATGAACAGTTTCTTAAATATCCATTGATTTTCACTATTCACTCAAAATATTTGAATGTATAAACCTATTGTTTTAACACTTCCCAGTATGTATAGATACAGCAAAATTATTTTATTTAAAATTATAGTTTGTGGAATGTTGTAAATAACTAACCTATGCAGCACTTTTGCCTCAAATATTTTTTTTTCTTTTTTATTTTTTTTAAACTTTTTGTATAAAAAATAGTTTTTTATTAAATTGTTATTCTTCTAGAAAAACATTTCTAGTATTGTACATCGGTTAACGATATAATTGAATAAAAGAACATTTTTACGAAGATTAATTATGTTATAGACAATCAACTATAACAATATTAATAAACTGTCATAATAATCGGCGGATATATAACCCTTCCGTCCGGGGAGCCAAAAAGTTAAGCGGATATATCCGCCTATGGTCCTGGAAGTGTTTAATTGCTTATTGTTTGTAAAGAAGGGTTCTTTTTTTATTAAGAGGTTGGCGGCCTCTTTTGACCTTGCATTTGCCCGTCCACATAGACTAACTGCCCGTGCGTGGATAGTATCTAGTATAGAAGGGGTGAGCCGGTACAAAACACAATCAAACTTTACAGGGTGATCTGTACTGATAAAATGTTTTCGGCAGTGACCAGGATTGAACCCACGACATTGCTGCCTTGGGCCCGAAGTCCGTGACGCTACCAACTGAGCCATCGACTCACCTTTGGTTTGTATCAACCAAGACTCATTTCATATATCGTAAATCTTCTAGTGCAAGTGCCTTGTGAAATAAGAGACATCTTTAATTAAAATACAGTCTACAGAAAAGAAAAGTAGATAGTTTTTTTTACATTTTCCTAAATCATACTTATATTTTTTCACAACAAAAAATCTGAATAAGAATTTTGATGACTCTTTACAACATGAGTAACTATACTCTGTTTAAACAATTTTGGCGGTTTGAAGCAATTTCATTCCCTCCACCTCATGCTTTCTTTGAAACAACAGCCAACAGCTGATCAAAGGCTAAGAAATGGTGGGATAACCAAGGAAACCTTGCCTTTAAACTGGCTAAAATTTTGTGACAGACTATAAAACATGAGAAAATATATGACAATACATGTACTTCAGCCCCATAAGTACATTTCTAAATCACATGTGAAAAGAGTCCGGATCATCCAACAGTATAAACTCAGCAGTATTTAAACACTTTTTCTAAAAATATTCTTACGTTCAAATAGAAGGCAGTTGACACCTACATCCCAGCAAACTTGATGCTCTTGCATGGCGACTTGACTGGAGGATTCGTCTGTATCTGGCCGACGTTGGCCGCTAGACCGTTCTTCAATATTCCGTTAGGCTGCACTACAGTCACTGACTTCCCATCTCTGCCTTGACCCATGTTGAAGCTCACACAGTTCTTGCCAATGATTTCTTCGTTCTTGCCATTCGTGAACGAGGGACTTATCACAGTTGTGCTGATCCTCCGCTGATTCTCTTTCCCGGTCGAGTCGTTCTTGTTGTGCAAGAAGAACGGAGGTTGCTTGGTCCCGTTTTCCATCTTTTGAGGGTTAGGTTGAGCGCTGATGGATATTGTTACTGTGTTTTTGCCTGAAGGCCTTTGAGGCGCAGATTCATTCTGTAACAAGAAAAGAATTTTTCAGATCTAAAGCATTCAATAACTTTTATTTGTCAAGTAAAGTGTGTCCCAACAAGAACGCCGGATTTAAAATTTTAATAAACCATATATTTTCTCGCTAAAATTACAATATGAAACAGGAATCTTAAAGCATAGTATCTCCGATTAGTAATGTATTATCATGTCTCTTAAGTGCCCACCTGCTGCCTGCTGACAAGCCCGACATCGTTTGACAACGTTTTCCATAACTTTTTCACCAACTTGCTGTTGAATTCTATTAATGGCACAAATAATTTCCTCCTTCATGTCTTGGATTTTTTAAGGATTATTGGCGCAAACAAGCGACTTTAAATATCCTCAAAGAAACTAGTCACTCGGTGTTAATCGCACGATGAATGTGTGCTTCATTGCTGAACAGCAAAGTTTTTGAAAACATGTCATTTTCAGCTTGATTTCCAACCACCTATCTTACAAATTCAAGCCGTTTTATGGGATCTCTTGGCTTTGATCTCTTGTGTGAGTTGAATTTTGTAAGGGAACATGTATTATACAAAAATTCTTTGTACTGTGCTCCGAGCTAGGCCTAACTGCTGACTACGCCGACGAATTGATGTTCTTGCGTTGTCCTCTACACTATCATGTACAGCATCAATATTTTCAAGGGAGCGACCTGCCCGACTGCGCACTGGGCTTTTAATTTCAAAAACTGAGCCAAATTCTTCGAACTTAGAAATCAATCTTCGGACAGATGACTTTTGCGCATTGTCTCGGCCGAAAATTGCGCGCAGCTTCCGCACCGTTTCACGAAACATTCCCCGTACTTGTAGTGCACTTTAACTATGATCACGTGTTGATCCGTCGTGTAACGATTCATGACTACAAATGGGACCTAATACTGATTAAATCACTAATAATTTGGAAATTCCTATTGAAATACAGATAAGAATAAGACGCTCCTAAAATCCGGCGTTCTTACTGGGACACCCTTTTTATTTCATAAAACTATATTTTCTTCATTTATCATATTGTTATTATTATTTAGAGGACACAATGCTGTTTATTTAAACCTGATAGGGCCAAAGGACAGGGGTGGAATGGATAGAGGTGTAATGTAGGTTGGTTACGGACTTCTAGAAATTGTTTCTTAAGGCAGGGCTGTTTTTAAGTTTTTAGTCATAACAATAATACTATAACTTAACTTTAAATATTTTACCTATTTGCTAGCTTTCTTGACTCACACAAAACTTTGACAAATTTATATTAATAAACACATTTTTTTCCTGTATTAACCTTTGCATAAAGGTACATCATTCTTCAGCTCTCAATTATTATGGAAATCAAAACACTAATTAGTTGAAAACATCTCCTAATGATTAACACATCTTCAATGATGATCACCTTTGCAAAACCTGCAAAGTAATGGAATTTCCAGTTGCTTTATTGTAATTTCATCTAAACATGTTCATTAGAAAAGGTAATTTATATTTTTAGATCCACACCACCACACCAAATGATCCGTAAATTTTACAAAGGTATATATTCATAGCAAGCAATCTACAGGGATGTACATTATTCCGTCATCATTTGGTCTCTAATGAACTGTTCAAGTTACGAATAGAGTGTAAATAAGTGATTCCAATTCCAAATATTATTTACTCAATATTGTGTGTAAATAGTTTTTAAGCGTGATTTTAGTGTATTATGAATTACTTTCATTCAAGTTCCCAATATAAGTAAATGGACTGGGAATGTAAAATATTAGACCATAAGCAACAACCAAACAAAATGAGCATTTAATTACTTTAAAAACGTATTCCCATAACATGAAGCGCTGACAACATGTTTTAGTTAAGGTTATTTTATATGTTTGTTCAAGTGCCTAGTTAAGTTATGTAAGGATGCAATTATTTTTTTCAAACTGTACTTATGTTATGAAGTGAGCAATTATAGGTAACTAAGTACAGGTGGGAGGGGGTTCACCAAGGAGGGGGGGGGGGCTCAAGGTTGTTTGGTTGTCTGTCTGTGTGTCTGTCAGAGTACTGACCAGTAGCAAGATGTTTTTATTCCTCTCTCTGTTATATTTTGTGGCTGGTTCAAAAGTAGAAGATGGTTCAAAACCTCCTCACATTGTCTATATACTTGCAGATGATTTGGTATGTAAATATATTATTTCTAATTGTTTTTCCTTAATTTCCAAAAGTATTAGCTAGATCGAATGTATTTAGCAAATTATTAGTAAAAGTTTTTTTATGATTTTTTTTATTTTTATTTTTAATCAAATTCACTGTTTAAATTAAATTTATCTGCGTTTTTTCTAAAAGAATTTGTTACAGTGTAATTTAGTGGTTATCATCGTTTTTTTCATCATTTCTAATAATTTCGACCAACGTAACAGGTTACAGTAGTTAACATGTATTTATGGATAGTCTATATTTTTATTTTAGAACTAAACATTTTGGTTGTAAATTTATAAAAATATACTTTACACAAATTTAATGCACGATAAAAATTTCAACTTAAAGTGATATTGTAAAAAATGTTGTTATTTACATGCACTTAGTGTTTCTAATGATTATTTGGAACAAACTTAAAATAGCATTTGCTCATCTTTGAATTAAAACGCTTCCTAGAAAATATCTCCATGATGAACACATTTTCTTTTTATCAGTTACTTCATTGACTGAGTTTTAAGTCCCTAATCATTTGATTATTTTTTTATTTTTGGGAAGCGAGGCGACATAGTGGTTAGAGCGCGGGACTTCAGTCCCTGAGGTCCCGGTTCGATCCCCGCCAAGTCACCAATGGATTTATCTAAGTGATAATGCCGTAACCATTAGGTCTAGCCTGAAATAATGTGAAAAACAATCCCAGGCTCGTGCCTAGCTTCATAGGACAAAAATTTTTTTTATTAATTTAAATTTTTCTTTAAAAATTTAACACTTTTTTTAATTGCAGTATCAATTTCTGTTATTTCAAACAGGTTGAAAAAAAACAATGATTATTTTTTACCTGTTATAAATTACAGATGATTGTTGTTCATCCAGAATATAGATAAGTCAAGGTCAAGTAGGGTTACTTACTTCAATTTTATTTTCATTAAAACGATCAACTTGAAAAATACTGTAAAATTAGAAGTGATTAAGTAGCAGTATCTTATCTACAGACAATGTTAAGTCTAAGTCTAGTCATTTAAACATGATTAGTATAATCTTGAATTTATCTTCCATAGTCAGTTCTAAGCTCTGTCTGTAGGTGATTTAAAAAATAAATTAAGTTTTTAAGTGTACTTAGGGCTGACACAGATGTATATTAAACAAAATCTTTCATGTGTTGGCTCTAATATTGACTATACAATCTATCACAATTAATGCTCCACAGGTCTTAGCCCTAGGGAATTTTAATGTGAATAGGTCTATAATTTACCCAGGTTTAACATGTACCTTATTGTGTAATTTCATCTCAGACAGGGTAGGGTTCCCTTTACCCAGAACAAACTAACACAGACAAGCAGATCAAATTTTGTATATAAATAATTCATTGAAAAACAAAACAAATCAAAGATTTTCAGAGATATTTTTTTGTAAAATGTCTCCATACACCACTTACTGTAACTTCTAATAAATAATCTAATGTCCAAATATAATCATGTTTCAATCCAAGACTCAAATAGTAGAGACACAACCAAACGTTTGGAAAATGGAGAAATGAGGAAATGAGGTCTAGTTTCATGTTGAGGTTGCAAGTCGTGGTTTAGTCATTATCCTATCTCAGTTTTAATGTGGATGACCCACTATTGACTAACAAATTCAACATTTCCTGTTGGCTTATATAACTTTTACTTATCGTTTATTTATATATTTATTTTATTTATTTACAACTAGTAGAGGTCCCATATCTCTTTCAGGTTGACCTATAATTGTAACAGTTTATTGAAGTTATACTAGTTTTATCCCTAATGGGGAGAGGTTGCAGAAGAGCCAAATTTGTTTATTTAATTTTACTGTATGAAATAGTCACACATCTACCATTGGTTTTACAAAACAAATTAAACTCAATAGTATAACTTTTTTTATAAGAATCTTTATTTTGATCTTTATTTTTTAGGTAAGTGATTTATAACAATTATTAGGTGCCTAGTGTGAAATTTAAACTGTGCTGAGCCACATGTTATTATGAAAATACTGCAACTATTTTTTATTTTCAAAATGTACGCCAACTTAAAAGTCTATTTACGCTTTTAACATTGACTTTTAGACAAGTATCAGTATCAATTACTTATTAACATCAGGGACCTATTAAGAAACAGCATTCAGTAAATAAGGGATAGTTGTAAGTTTTTCAACATTTATAAAACATTTATATTTGAATAAAGAATTTTGAACTGAATTAAGCAAACACACACACACAGAGACAGACATGCAACATGTTTTTATATACCTATAGATTGATTTGAAAAAGATTATTTTTTTTTTTTTTTTTTTTTTTTTTAACTGAGTTTATTAATAAACTTTGCCTATTAGACACAGTAAAAAAAAACTTAAATTTACGATATAAATAACATGTAACATAGATTAATAACGTTGTCCATATAAATGATTTTGAATGATTTTACATGATTCTTTTAGCACTTTTATGACTATTTCATTTTTTAATTTTGATGGAAGATCATATTTTTTTAAAAATTCGTCAAAAAATTTTGTAATAGTCCCTCTTGCACCAATCATTATGCCAATTACTGATATTGAATTTAGATTATATTTGTTTCTTAAATAAGTTTCACATTTACTATAAATTTTCCTCTTTTCTTCATCTACTTCTAGGGGTTGGTTTGATGATGTTTCGAACCTAGGTTACATTATAGATTACTATGTATATTACAGCGGCATATAAAACAGAATAGTTAAGTTTTAGCGTTTTAGCCAATCTCTACTAAAAAACAGATTTAAGGACAAAGCATGAATATTTAAAAGGCCTTATTCAAATTGTGGCAGCTTCAAATGCAAACAATCCTCCTCCACATAATGCTCCAGCATGATTGGCTAACTGATAGATGGTAGTTACAAATACATTGCCAACAAATCTTATACTAAAGGTAAATCTATTACAGCGAAAGCATTATTTTGTATTTTAGCTAAACATTTACCACCAAAACGTTTCTAAAATCTTAGTAAAATAGTACATTGACTTATATATAGTTTTTATAACTACATAAAATATAGTTTGTGAAGTAGCCAAGGTTTGTTTACAGCCTCTTAATGAGATATCCTTTACAGAACAATTCAAATTGCCTCCAACATCACTTGTTCAAATTTCAAGAAATATCAAAAGGTGCAATAACCTGCCGTTAATATTTTAATCCATACTCTTTTGAGTATTTAATGTCCTGTCATTTTACAGTGCAGTGTAGGCTACTTCTGAAATAACAAAAACTTTTAGAAAATAGTAGGACTACATTTTATGAAGTCTATACTTGTTTAACTTATGTCCACTCATATTTCTTTCACTAAAAGCTACTTTATGAACACTTTTTAGTTTGTTTTTTTTACTATTGTTACACAAATCTTGTTTTATTTCTATAAACTTGTTTGTGTTTAAACACATTCTTTTAGGAATAGGCTTACTTGTTACTTATATTGTTTAGCAAACAAATCGCTGTACTTGTCAAGTTTCTTATACAAGCATATAAGCGCTTGAATTACTGTGCTTGAACAAGTTCAGTTTACCTTTTCTAACGTGATTTTACAGGAAAGTTCCTGGAAGCCTAAATAGGTAGTAAATGAGAAAGACACTGTAGTACGTTTGCATCCTTTTAAAGTCCTAAAATCGTGAAATATTCGATGAATGTTTAAATAATGACTTCAAGGAAAACCAGTTATAAGAAATAACCCAGTAGTAAAAACTAAATTATACCCACAAGACAAACACAAACAAAGAACAGGTGGATTTAATGAGGAATTCATTAAATCCACTGAGTCAGTGTTTATTCCTTTTATGGGACTAGTTGTATTACATAACTGTGTACCAATAATGTTTACTATGAGGACTATTGTTTAATAGTCCTGTAAAACAACACATATAGGTCTCAATTATCATTTGTTTTATGTAACTAGACTAATCATACAAGATGTATTTTTTTTCATACAATGTTTCATATTTATTTTACAATTCCAAATCCATTCAGTAACCAAGAGAATGTTCCACTTTATGGAACAGAACTGTGCCAGTTCCACCTAAAATTTTCTTTCTAAAAGTTATGTCATAAGTGGAGCCACAAAAAGTAATTTGATTGTCAGTTATTGAACTACCTGTCATTTTCAGTAGTATCCAATACCAGTAGTCAATGATTTAACTAACAGAATGTTAGTTTCCATCACAAAACCTTTCCACAAGAAAAACCATGTAGATCATTGGTTTATTGTTGCAAACTTTTTGGTTTTTCTTTGATAACACAATTTCAGTTTATTTAAAACAATCTATTTTTTAGGTGGAACTGTGATGGCCAGGCAGTCATTAACCATATTTTTTTTTAATTTCATGGATACCAGCCCAAAACTCAGTTATTGGTTATTGCCAGTAGTATTGGTAATAGGTCAGTAGAAGCGTGTCGCAACTCCGCTACCAGCATAATCTTGCAGTTTAATTGGGTTTTGTTGAGTGTCACAAAGTATTGGGTACATCGATTGCTACATCACGTTCGATTGTTTTTATCCTGGCATGGAATGTGTGGCCTAATTGTTCTGCTGACAAGGAGGTGTCATCATTCCGTGTGTAGGACTGCCGAACCTGGGGGACGGTTAGTTAGTCAGGTTGGAAGAGTCGAGAAGACGCGTACTATCCATCCCTCTCCAGCATATCCATCGCGGTAGACATGTCTCCGTTAAAATTTGGTTTTTATGTACAGTAGCAACTGATAGCAACTCATATTAAGTAACTTTGTTCTTTTGAAGTAATAAACCAAGTGTTAAATTCTCTACTAAGCATTTGATCATGGAGTTTCTGCCCTTCCCATGCGTGGTTGTTACAGAACAATGGTTGAAATATGCCAGTTTCATATCACAATTGTTTGTTCGATATTATTACATTTACAGGGACAGGACTAACTTCGGAATGCTGCATGTAGTTAGAAAATGTATCTTCATTTTAATTTTCAATGCTCCGGGTCTAATCGACGCTTTTTTAACGTTTTTACTTAATTTTACAGTTTGTAACAGTTGTTGTTATAGTTCCACATTTTACAGTTGTATTTTAGTTTTCCATTTGCAGGGATGGAACGACGTCAGTTTCCACGGGTCTGACCAGATCCCCACCCCCAACATTGACTCTCTGGCCTACAATGGGGTGATTCTCAACAGACACTACACTCAGCCTCTGTGTACTCCTTCCCGGGCCTCCCTCATGACTGGCAAATACGCTGTGCACACAGGTAAGTCTGACCAGATCCCCACCCCCAACATTGACTCTCTGGCCTACAATGGGGTGATTCTTAACAGACACTACACTCAGCCTCTGTGTACTCCTTCCCGGGCCTCCCTCATGACTGGCAAATACGCTGTGCACACAGGTAAGTCTGACCAGATCCCCACCCCCAACATTGACTCTCTGGCCTACAATGGGGTGATTCTCAACAGACACTACACTCAGCCTCTGTGTACTCCTTCCCGGGCCTCCCTCATGACTGGCAAATACGCTGTGCACACAGGTAAGTCTGACCTGATCCCACCCCCAACATTGACTCTCTGGCATACAATGGGGTGATTCTCAACAGACACTACACTCAGCCTCTGTGTACTCCTTCCCGGGCCTCCCTCATGACTGGCAAATACGCTGTACACACGGGTACGTAGTACATGCTACTATCAAGTTGTTTTGTTGAGTTTTTCTATAAAGCTTCTCACTAAGCCAGGTGGGGGGCTTCTCTTTACTCAGTTACTCCCATAAGTTATATGATTCGTTCAGTCCAATTCTAGCGGACACGGTAGCTCAATGTTAGCGTGTTAACATTAAGTTGATAAGCCAGAGTTTACTCATTGGGAAATGGCTCGTTATTTCAGTGGTTGCGGTTGCGCTGCTTGCCTATTAAAGTTGCCAGTTCAAACCTGAGAAAGGTTAGTAGATATTATTTAATGGTTCGAAACTTGATCAAGCCAATGGTTTAATGGTTCAGAAATGATCAAAATTTCATCATTAGGTTTTTAATGAATGGTCCTGGCTATAGAAATAGCTGATCTTAGCAATCAATACAAACCCTTTAAGAAGCAAAATGCTTGTGTAGAATAGTCAGACTGGAATTTTGCCGGCGAAATGAGCTTCGCCAGGCCGCAACTACGATCGCTCGCACGGCTGCCGCGCTCTACCTCTCTCTCTCTCTAAGCCAATTCTTTGTCTCACTCTCTCTCACTCAGTCACCTGACTTGGCTGCACGCTTGCAATGGTTTGCCTAGCGGCTCACGTGGAAATTATTGAAAATTCAAAATTTCCAGACTGATTTTTTACAAAGGCATTGCGCTTCTTAAAGGGTTTGTATTCATTGATCTTAGTCAGTCATAAAGCACACACCACTTTATTTTATGTTGTTTGTTGTTGTTCCGGATCGGTGTGACAATTAGTTGACTTCACACCACCTCTGTTCAATTCTACACACCTAGGTGATGTAGTTGCTATCTATCAAGTCATGATGATGATGATAATGGCCAATGCAATACAATTAGTCCTATCACCACTGGACAGTGAATATCCAGTGTGAAATACATGTTACTGTGCTTCGATCATTGCACGGCTATTAGGTCTTTGATGGAAAGCAGGTTTGGAAAAAAAATCCATCCACTTTTGGTATTTTAAGGGAATAGCATAAAAGGGGTCTGAAAAAAAATAATATTTGTGTACTAGGTAACCCTAAAGTAAAGTTTAATTATTTATTTACAAGATATCACTATTGATGATATACCCGTTCAGGTTTACATGATGCTTTACTACCAACTCACAAGGCAGGTCTTCCACTGACAGAGAAGATTCTTCCTCAGTATCTGAAGGAGCTTGGATATTCCACACATCTGGTGGGCAAATGGCATCTCGGGTTCTACAAAAAGGAGTTTACACCTTTACAGAGAGGGTTTGACTCTCACTTCGGCTACTGGTCTGGAGCAATCAGTTACTACGACCACATCGATGAAAACCCGGTAAGCTTCTTTCACCCCAGTCCGGAAAATGTTATACTTTTTACAGATGCACAACGTACTATCGTCACAAACTTATATTTACTCCAAGTCTGGTTTCTGACTGGTCGCTACGCCACTAATTTACTCGTATTAAAGCTGTAGGAGTAAAATGTCAGTGATGGAACACTTTTGAAGTTCAGATGTGATTAATGCGAAGAGCCAAGACAGTGGCTGTATATCAGGTGGCAGAAAAGCCTTTTATTCTAAGACATTGACACTATCTTGACAGTATATCTAGTTTTTTTTTTGTTTTTATTTTTTATTATTTCACTTGAAAGAAGAACTATTACAATGGTTTCGTCTTCGTGGCATTGGCAAGACTGGGTAGTTTTGGAGTCATTTTAGAATAAAAAACTGAAAAACTGAGTATTTTGTGCTAATGAGTTTCCTCATGTAATTTCTAATGTTGGATTACATTACACAGTGGTTTGACATGCAGGCACCAACCATATTGAACTGGCATCCTCATAGAATTTGTATCTTAATGTTCAGATCATCTCCTGAATGGGATTCAACGAGAACAACTCATCCACCTTCAATTTTTAAGAAGTGATCCATTAGTTTGTGCATGGAATGTTCAAATCTTGATTTATAATACAGTAATCCACACCAGCAGGTCTCTATTCATCAATCAGCACAAAAATTTCAACGATCCTCCTCCACATTACAGATTCCGACGCTCAACTACAGCGGCCACGACATGAGGAGAGGCTACTCCTCGGCGTGTGACATGGTAGGTCAGTACGCTACAGATCTGTTCACCAGAGAAGCTGTCCGTGTGATAGAGAGCCATGAGCCAGACAGGCCGATGTTCATGTTCATGGCTCACTTGGCCTCTCACGCTGGCAACCAGGGCAAGTGGCTAGAGGCTCCTCAGGACGAGATCAACAAGTTCTCCTACATCAGCGATCCCAACAGGAGAACTTACGCAGGTGAATAAAGGTAAAAGTGTATAAGTCCTATTTTTTTTTTCAAAAATAAAATATTGAATTTGTATGCTTCGATCAACAACTTTCCAGTGTTAGGATCAGGGTTTTCACTAGCCAAAACAAAAATTTCATTGATTCTTGATGGTCCACAATAACTCCTTCAATGACATAATACTAAACATCACCAATAACGAAATCCAAACAAAAAACTTACATAATATATCCTTATTGATAAAACTACTCGAGATGGGCTTCTAGCCTCAAGATCACATGAAGTTTTGCTTAAAGTCATTAGTGGTCGTTAAATTGAGAGATGAATTGCTTCAATAGTAGGGGTGTGCAATCCTGGTGCGATGGATCAAAAATGCATCAAAATTCGGGTCTAAAAACAATTCGATAATGGGGGAATCAGTATCCATATACGAAAATCAATAGACCAAACATACCTCTATGTTAATTAATCTTTTAGCCTCAAATATTGTACTTTGAGTGGGTGAATCTTTTTATAGTTTATAGACAGCAGAATTAATTTAAATGCATTCAAACTAAGAAATTAAACTTTTTTCAAAAGATATTTATCAAGATTTATATGCAATAAAATATAGGCCTAATAATATTGAGATTTTTTCATTGTTTTGACAAAATAATTTTCAGCTATGGTCTCCAAACTTGATCAGTCTGTTGGAAGTGTGATCACTGCCTTGGAGAGGAAAGGAATGTTGAAGAACTCCATTATAGTTTTCCTCTCAGACAATGGAGCTCCAAACATTGGAGTTTACCAGAACTGGGGGTCCAACTACCCTTGGAGAGGAGTAAGTACTAGTAAAGTAACTGGAAATCTAACTACCCTTGGAGAAGAGTAAGGACTGGTAAGTACTGGGGGTTCAACTATCCTTGGAGAGGAGTAAGTACTAGTAAAGTAACTGGAGATCTAACTACCCTTGGAGAAGAGTAAGGACTGGTAAGTACTGGGGGTCCAACTACCCTTGGAGAGGAGTAAGTACTAGTAAAGTAACTGGAGATCTAACTACCCTTGGAGAAGAGTAAGTACTGGTAACTTAACTGGGAGTTCAACTATCCTTGGAGAGGAGTAAGTACTAGTAAAGTAACTGGAGATCTAACTACCCTTGGAGAAGAGTAAGGACTGGTAAGTACTGGGGGTTCAACTATCCTTGGAGTGGAGTAAGTACTAGTAAAGTAACTGGAGATCTAACTACCCTTGGAGAAGAGTAAGGACTGGTAAGTACTGGGGGTTCAACTACCCTTGGAGAGGAGTAAGTACTAGTAAAGTAACTGGAGATCTAACTACCCTTGGAGAAGAGTAAGGTCTGGTAAGTACTGGGGGTCCAACTACCCTTGGAGAGGAGTAAGTACTAGTAAAGTAACTGGAGATCTAACTACCCTTGGAGAAGAGTAAGTACTGGTAACTTAACTGGGGGTTCAACTATCCTCGGAGAGGAGTAAGTACTAGTAAAGTAACTGGAGATCTAACTACCCTTGGAGAAGAGTAAGGACTGGTAAGTACTGGGGGTTCAACTATCCTTGGAGAGGAGTAAGTACTAGTAAAGTAACTGGATATCTAACTACCCTTGGAGAAGAGTAAGGACTGGTAAGTACTGGGGGTTCAACTATCCTTGGAGAGGAGTAAGTACTAGTAAAGTAACTGGAGATCTAACTACCCTTGGAGAAGAGTAAGGACTGGTAAGTACTGGGGGTTCAACTACCCTTGGAGAGGAGTAAGTACCAGTAAAGTAACTGGATATCTAACTACCCTTGGAGAAGAGTAAGGACTGGTAAGTACTGGGGGTTCAACTATCCTTGGAGAGGAGTAAGTACTAGTAAAGTAACTGGAGATCTAACTACCCTTGGAGAAGAGTAAGGACTGGTAAGTACTGGGGGTTCAACTATCCTTGGAGAGGAGTAAGTACCAGTAAAGTAACTGGAGATCTAACTACCCTTGGGGAAGAGTAAGTACTGATAGCTTAACTGGGGGACCAACTACCCTTGGAGAGGAGTAAGTACCAATAAAGTAACTGGAGATCTAACTGCCCTTGGAGAAGAGTAAGTACTGGTAACTTAACTGGGGGTCCAACTACCCTTGGAGAGGAGTAAGTACCAAAGAAGTAACTGGAGATCTAACTACCCTTGGGGAAGAGTAAGTACTGGTAACTTAACTGGGGGTCCAACTACCCTTGGAGAGGAGTAAGTACCAAAGGATACTTGGACTGGGACGGGTGGCGTCGTCCTGTAATCCAGCTACTAGGAGGTCACGAATTGTGGATATTTATAGGCATGCACTGTGGATGTGATACTCCCTGGTGTGGACTAACGTCCGCACGAGTGAGTACTACGACTATCCACAGTACTATCCTGATAATTAGACCAATTCGTATATACCAAGGAAAAAATTTGGTTCGGATTCCCCTATAAACTGTAGGTCCCTTAGTTGCCATTAGCTGTATGGGCTATTAATTAACAGCTGTGTCTAAGGAATGTCGGCCTTAGTCACTAACAAGGCTACAAGATCGAGCCACTCATCCTACACTCATCTCCATTCATACTTGGCTTAAAATACCTACTATGTATGGTAGCCATTTCATCGAACAGTATTAACAGTAAAGAAGTAACTGGAAATCTAACTACCCTTAGAGAAGAGGAAGTACTGGTAACTTAACTGGCGGTTCAACTACCCTTGGAGAGGAATAAATACCAGTAATGTAACTGGGGGTCCAACCCTTTCTTGTTTGCTCATGAACATAATGTGTCATATTTGTTTTATGACTTAATTAAGCCCTTGAGTTGTATGGTTCAATTAATTGAACACAAGAGTAACATAAGCACCGTGTCCACTTACAACTACCTATCTAGATACGAATACGACTAAAAAAAAAAAAAAAAACAGATAAATGCCTGACATCTGCTGCAAACTGGCAGACAAGTTTGAAACTACTACACTTGGGCTTTTTAGGTTTGCAATTAAGCTAGTTAGTAGAGTTATCCATTAAAGGAGTACTTATTTAACTTAACCAAACTAATGTTTTGACAGCAAAAAGCTACACTGTGGGAGGCTGCAGTTAGAACTCCTTCTCTCATCTGGAGTCCGCTGATTGGCAAACCTTCCAGGATCTACAATGATCTGATGCATATTTCAGATTGGCTACCAACACTGTTGAGTGCAGCAGGTAAAGAAATCATTATTTAGTTGTATTAGGGGTATTATTGGAATAGCAGGCCTCACAAAATGGGGCATATTTCATATTTAGGTAATGTATTCAATAATTGAAATATTTCACAGTCAATTTCAACCTGATGTTACTGATAGGTTAGGCTGTGGTCAGGGCCGATTTACCAAATAGGCACGGTGGGCACGTGCCTAGGGCGCGAGGCAATTGGCTTTTTTGGGGGGCGCCAAAAAATTGGGAAATAAAAAAAATTGGTAGTTGTATTTGCATGATCGCAGTAAACTTCCAAAAATCCCTCCCTGCCGTATAGAAATCGTAACCGACTCCCGCAATTGAGGCAACATTCTGACTATTTTTCACGGTCGTGTATACATAATTATTGCCTTCCATGATCGCGGCAATATATGAACATTTCCCGCGGTCGTGAGGAGACAATTATCGTGTACCGCGAATGAGGCAAAATTCTGATTACCCTACGCAGCCGTGAAGACATCATTAATTGTACCCTGCGGTCGTTTGTTTATAGCAATTGCCTCCCGCGATTGAGGCAAAATGGTAATCATTTCCTGCCATCTTGTGGCAATCATCATCGTCTTCTGCGATCGCGGCAAAATTTTTGCTGTTTCCTGCGTTCGTGTGGACATCATCATCGCCTTCCGTTATCGCGACAATATTCTGATCATCCCTCGTGGCTCTGTAGATATTCAATTCAAATCAATTCAATCACCATCGTCTTCTTCGATCGCGGAAAATTCTGATAATCCCTCGTTGCCGTGTGTAGACATATTGTCGTCTCACGCGGTCACGGAAACGTAACTATTGTCATTCGCAATGGCGGTAAATTGAAAATTCCAGGTGCATATACAAAATTCACGCATATTTCCTGGTTCAAAAAAACTCAAGCATAATTCACAGATTCCCAGTTTTCCTGGTCGGTGGACACCCTGTATATATATATATATAGCAAAGGGGCGCTACTATATAGTTAAGGCCTATGCCTAGGGCGCTGACAGGGTCAAAAACGGGCCTGGCTGTGGTTTCCTAGACGCGTAATAGATGCGCAGTGGTTTAGATGCGCAGCGTCTCTTATCCAGGTCCCAAAACCTGCGTACAATACACATGGTTGGTGCGTAACTTAAGTTCACGGGAGAGATTACTAGTGGCTACTATGGTGTAATACGTTGATTTAGATAATGAAATGGATATTTTGGCATTAAAAGCTTTAAAGAAGCGTAAGCAGTGAAAAGTACAGGTTAGGAACGTATCTTTTAACTGTAGTGTTAAAGCAAACATGTACATTTAAAATGAAAACAATAAATCTTAATTTAGCCTGTCAAACTTTGCTTTTACTGTTATTATATTTACCTATTCGGGATTTACCGAATCGATGAAAATATCTTTTACACTTATACGCCAACCCCGTAAGAAGTTTGGGTACTATGCTATTAATTATTATGGAGTTATTACTAAGATGTTCAGGAGTTCTTAAAATAATTATGGGGGCACTTATATTTGGGAGTTGGTTGTGCTGACTTAAAAAGAATATTTGACAGTACTAGGTTTATTTATTATTATTAATACAGTAACAACAATATGAAAATATGTGAGGACAAATTAATTGTAGGGAACATGTAACAAGGGTATTAAATATTAAAATCACACATTAAGGGCAAATTAACACTACATAACAAATGATATTAAATATAACTAGTGTTAAATATAACCTGTTGCTCGAATTCGAGCAATTGCGAAGCATTACAGGCGACTCAAAGATTATGGAAATACTCACGATCTACACAACTTAGATATAATCAAAATCTTTTGTAAATATCTTATCTTTTTTCAAAAAGCTTATCTTGTTTTTTTAGTGTTTTCTACAAATTTTTCCCTCTCATAGCCGCATTAGGTTGTCTATGACAACGATTATAAATGAAAAAAACATTATTTCTATTTCTTCTACTTGGTTGTGTTCTATGACTTTTTCTATGTTTCCATTGTTTGCAAATCGATTATTTCAATGATTGCTCAAGAAATGTAGAACAGTGTTAATTCAGTTTTATTTTTAGCCTATATCTAATTGTCCAGGATTTTTCGCTCTTTTCCATTGTAATAATTACACCAACCCAAGTTTCGTCTACAGATGCAATATGTCAACAAATATCACCTACGTACAATCTCCAAGAAGTGGTAAAAAAGGCAGAAACCAACCCATACAATAGATATAAGTTAACTCCAAAAGAAATAATTTTAAGTGTTACTGTGATATTAGAATTTTCCACTGATTTGGTAATAGAACATTATATTGCAAAACATGACACGATTCAGAAGAAAATTGATTTTAAAATCAGAAAACCCCATTGCAAATACTGTACTTCATTTTGACAAATTCAATAAATCACAATTTAAATATTAACAGCTGTTTCATTAAAAAGTAGTGTAGAATTATGCATATGGTCATAATGTAAACAAATCTGAAGAGGCAACTTTAAAGGCTTCTGGGGCAGAGCACCAAGGGAATTTACCTCGTTCCTCTTTTGATGGCTCATCTACAGACCAAGACCTTTCTTTAGAGACCTCTACCAAGTTTCTACGCTCAGCCGTTCTCTCAAATTAGCTATGACAAAAACCCCATTTTCCTCCATAAGAATAACATGGGATAGGAATTTAAAGGCCACTGGGGCAGAGCCCCAAGGGAATTCACCATGTTTCTCTTTTGATGGCTCATCTACAGACCAAGACCTTTCTTTAGACACCTCTACCGAGTTTCTACACCCAGCCGTTCTCTCAAAATAGCTATGACAAAGAAAAACGGTTTCAAATTAATATATAGATACTATAAAATTTTAATTGTATGAACAAAGTATTTCCATAACATGTCATTAGAAGAGACAAATTCAATCAATTTTTCGTCGTTGTTGGAGAATTTTGCCTTCTGTACAACATTTACTTCCGAATCCATTGCACAAGACATGTCTAAAACGCAGCGTAACTCAGATTCGACTGCTCCGAAAGCAGTCGGTCAAATACGCAGCTATTGGTGTGCGCGTATTAGATGCGCGCGCATTAGATACGCAGCCTAGGAAACCGCTTAAACGAAACTCCATAAGACGAGTGTGCTGCGTCTTAGATGCGCACACGCAGCGCATCTATTACACGTCTAGGAAACCACAGCCTTACTGATGGTCTGATAGAATGCAGTACATGATCCAGATATGAGGTAATCCTATGAGAATTCCAGCCAGGATCTCCACGTTCCGTGTAGCAGTGGGTGTGAGTCCCGCACTACTCCGTTGTCCGTTCATTACAAATTTTCAAAATGTAAAATCGAGGAAGGTTTGAGTTGTCTTCAGGTCTGATGATAACTGGGAGAAACTCCTGTGATAATAAACCCTGTTTCTACTTTCTATTTACTAAGGCCTCTAAATCAGCATACACAGTTACGCACATATTTCAATTTCAACCTTATGTTGTTTTGTAGGTCAAATACTTTGTAAAGATTCTAAACATTTGAATTAATTTTATTTTCAGGCTACAAAGGCAAGATTTCAGACATAGATGGGATTGACCAGTGGAGAGCTTTATCTAGAGGCTACCCAGGGCCGAGGGAAGAAGTTATCATCGATGTTGATGACAAAAAGAAGATGGTTGCTGCAATTTACAAAACTTTTAAATACGTTAAAGGTAACATAACTTGAGAATACAGGTTCAGACCTTGAGAATCGAACAGTAACATTATTCAAAGTCAATATATTTTTGACTGAAATAATATGAAAATCGTTTGAAGTAATGGTATGAATGAGTTCTTCTAAATATTTTTGCTCCTGAATTGAGGCTTAAACTAGATACAGGATTAGTGAGGGTTTTCTAACCAGCTGTTGAAATTAATTGGAATACCTTCAAAATATTTGTATATAATAATGTCAGTCAAAGATAAAATCTTCTTAAAATAATGTTTTGATGGTTTGTAACTGGGCCCAACTGATCATTTATCAGTGGGCTTTTAGCAATTGGTCTTCGCTAATGACAAAGGTGGCTAACGTCAGTAACAAAGCTATATCACACATTTCACTCCATTCTACCATCATCCTACACTCATCCTTCACCCATATTCTGTTCAAAATACAGTATTGTGCACTTCTCACTACAATAATAGGAGTGCTGTCCGTTAAATAATTCAATCCATTTATTATCCTCTATTCTGAAGGATTAAAAGAATGTATTTATTTCTAGGACCATCAAGAGGAGGCCCTGAAGACATGTTTTTGAACACAAACACAATATTCTCTCCCAGGCAACCCAAGTACAACCTGAGGACTGTGATTCAATCACCGACATGGCAAGCTGTCCAGAAACATATGAAAACTCTGATCCCAATCGATGGTATCTACCAACTAAGACACCAAGCAACTATCACTTGTTATCATGACTTTGACCAAGCGATGGAATGTGTAGATCAACCTTGCTTGTTCGACATCCTTGAGGACCCTTGCGAGCAATACAACATTGCTGAAGAGCTACCGGTGGCAACACAACACATAGAACGACAAGTTATCGACCCCTTCAGGAAAGGAGCTGTTGTGATTCCACTAATAGAGGACCCAGAGTCTAATCCTGAGAACTTTGATGGGGATTGGAGTATTTGGGTGGAATGAAACCAGTTTTAGTGACATTAAATGAATATTGTTTTCCGATCAAAACATCTTTTTTCATAAACTAGTAGCGAGCACCCCATTTCAATGAAAAAAGTGAAAAAAAGTTTAAATGATAGTTCTGTGATGTGTAAAAAGTAGTAAGTGAAGTAAATCAGTATAATACATGAATTCATTTGATTACCTACAAATTTTATTTGTTTGTGGAGTAACTTTTTTTTCTTTTATCCCACTTCACATGCCTCGATTTGTCTCGCAAATTTTTGCCAGGGAGGCAACGTCAGACTTCTCTACCAATGTTTAGAATAAATGGTTTTGTAACATCAATGTCCATTAAAAGAGCACTAGTTCAAAACTTGACTTTCAGGTTCCAGCTTATGTCTAGTTCAGCTTTCAGTTGCGTTTGCTATGTTGCCTTCGGATGGATATTTGTGAGTAGAAGATAGGTTATGTTACGCTTGCATCCAATTAAGTAGCCTTTCTAGTTGATAAAGGCTATTGACATTTAAAACTGAGAATTGTACTCACAGTAGGTGAAGTATCACACTTGAGGTTGGCTTTGGAGAGAGTCTGCGTGAGTTCGTCTTGTAGCCGAGCTGTGATTGGCTCATCACTGCCCAGGCTGGTCCCATTGTGACCCAAGAACTGGAACCTCTCTGGATTCTTCCTCTCGTTGCTCTTTGGATACTCTCGGATAGTTATTGTGGGCTTCACCTCTGACGATTTGCTGTTAGATGTAAAAACGGCTGTGTTTTAGAAACCATTATAAATATATTTAATAAAATAATCTAATAATCATATCCAATGGGAAAAGGATAAAAAGCTAGAAGGTTTTCTATAACCTGAGAGACGACTTCATACTTTTCTATAATATTTCTCTGTTTATATAGCCTCTTTTTGTTTGGCCAATAAGAATATCCATAGCAATTTTCAATCGTAGGCTACTATAAGCTTCTGTTTTCTGGATTTATATCTATTAAGATATCTTGAGAGTAAATCTCATTCTAGAAAGATAACAAAATTGTATATCAAAACAGTATTAAAATCCAAAAATAGCATTGAATTGGTACCAAATTTCTCAAATATTTAAGTGGCTAAATCAGATTGTTATAATTCAGTCTATGAGAATAAAATAACCACCATTTATTAAAAGTGTATATGTTCTGCTTATGTTTCATAACAAATCTTGACATAGAATAAATAAAAGTTTATATTGTGCATTTTTGGTCTCAGGAAGATGACTGCATTGTTGAACAGCAAAAATACCTGACAAGACAATATTTTCATTGGAAAACATCGTTACTACTAATTACAAAGACAATTTGGAATCCAATTACAGTAGACTCCGTCTTATCCGGACTCCTCGGGACCAAGGCTAGTCCGTATAACTGGGTTTCCGGTTAAACCGACGTCCCCAAAAACTCGTTAAAATGGACTGTTAACTGTGATATTTGAATTCATTGTTGTAGCCCCGGAACTGTAATATATAAAATATCTGGTTTTTACGTGTCGTGTAAAAATGTTGTATGTCGTGTGATGTGTTGTAACGAAGCTATTCAAGCGGATCTACATCTTCCTGTATTGAAGTGTTTGACAATGGCAGCTCGCCGAAACATGTAACACACGTTGACGGAAGTTACTTTTGGAACTGATAAAACCAGATATTTTGTGATATTTGACTTAAATTTAGGAGAGCATTGTATTTAGACACGTGATCATTGGTCTCAAATCTTTCCCACAAGAACAGTTGTTTCAGTACTGCCCACTTCCTGCCGATCTAGTCCGGTTAAACCAATGCCCTGATAAAAATTGTCCGGTTAAATAGATGTCCGGTTAAAAGGAGTCCAGATAAGAGGGGAGTCTACTGTACTGTCTATATCGGGAGTACCCATATGTCATCCTATGAAGACAGTTTTTGAATTCAAGATTGTCCTAGAGATGTACCTGTATTTTGCTGCCATGCATCCGAAAAAGAAACATTGGCTAAGTTATATCATTGGCTAGTATTTGAGCTGTTTCAAGAATCAGTCAGTCTCCAGAAGACTAAGATTTCAGATGTCTACTTTGATCATTCACGCACACGCGATAGTGAGATACCTAGTAGTTTAAAGTTTACTGTGTAATTTTAGACTCTACCTTGAAGTAGACGACACGGTGTTGTGAGCGTTTGGAGGGAAGTATATTGGTGGAGGCTTGGGTTTACTGACTTCTGGGTTTGTCAGTTTGAAAGACTCTAAAGACTGCATTTCCACAAAGTCTGCGTTGCCGTTCTTGCTGCCGTTCACAGCTTTGTGTGCCACTGTCTTTGGCTTTCTGATGGTGGAACTCGCCTCGGACGCCAGACTGGTTTGGTCGTAGTCAGGGGTCGGTGTATCTGGAGGAAAGGGTGGCAGAGTAGCTTCTAAAGGTACAAAGCCGTTGGTGGGTTTTGAGTCTAGATCGTCTGAGGGCATCTGTAATGGAAAATTACAATTAAATCACCTAAAGAAGCATTCCCATACAAAATTCACTACAAAATAATCTCTTAGATGTAGATTGCAATTTGTTTGTACTAATATGAAGAAGTATTAATAGCTTTACTGATCCACTTTTTCTCTTTTTATTTCCAAAGTATTTGTGCTTTGATTAAATCACTCATTCTTACGCTAGCCGATAGGTAGGTTAATACATTTGCTAGTCCAGACCTATTAGGGTGGAACCTATTTTCGCTGGTAGTAAAGCCACCATTAACTAGGAGTAAGTCTGACTGATGTCCTAACTCTTGTAATTTTACTGGCACAGGTAGTAAATAGCAATCAGAAATCTATAAGAAAAAACTTTCAAGGTAGGTGGAGATAGGAGCTTCAGTTGGGACCAGTCAAAGTCAAGTTAACTCTAAAACTCAGATCAAGGATCACAGCCCCCATTGGATTCTATTTCATTGGTCAATTAACTAAGGTTTAATGGTAATAGTATAATAGACTGTTTATCACTTAAGTAATCTTACAGGGAAATTCTGTTGTTTACTATTCCACGGCATGTCTTGTGTCATCATGGGTTTCTGAGTCATAGCAGAGAGGAAAAGAGTCCATATTATTAAATAATAATAGGCCATAGTTGAATATACTTGACCATACATATAATTTTCTTATACAAAGTACATAATTTCATATTTAAGTGTATATCGGTTTTCGTGCCTTAAATTAAACGTTTACCCAAATTAAAGAAGTTACCGTTGTCTGGATCTTTAAATGATAACCACAAAATTTAATGTAATAATTGGATTGGCCTTTATAAAAAATGTGCTACTGTCCATTATTGATTTCTCCCAGGAACACCAAACACCAGACAAATTTAGCTTTTCCAAATTATTCCGAAGAAATTAAGATAAGAAGGTTGACAACGGTGAGTACAAAACTACATAGCACCAGTGTATCCAATTTGATATTTCAAAACAGATATTTTATTTGATATTTTGTTTACTCCACTTAATTATTCGGATAATTCATTTTGGAATAGTCGCTTGAATGCCTCTCATCTCTAACTTTTATTCATTGATAATAAGGATGTTTGGTTAACGGCAACTGTTTGAACAATCCAAAATTAAAGGTCAACTTGTAAAAATCACAACATCTTTTCAGTATTAACTAGAATTGTATTGAAAACTAAGGTAAAAACCAAATATTCAGTATAACACTCTGTGAAAAGATTTTCCAACTTTTTCCATTATAAATCTGGCAACAGATGGTCCATATAGACGGAATTGCTAATTTGAGTAGGTAGTCTATGATAAACTATACTGATTATTGATTAAAGTTAACAATTAACTCACAGGAGGGGGAGGTGGGGGTACACAACTAGATTGTCTCCTTCCCAATCTCAAGAGTTCTCTTTCCGTCTCTGTCGTATCCTGTTTGTCTCTCTCTAACCGGAGATCTCTCTCCTTCACAGCTACGAGAGCTCTCTCCTGACTCATGTTCACAGCGTATTGCTCTTCCTTCTGCTGCCTCTTCACCCTGAAGGATTCTCTTTCCTGTAACAAAACCTTACATCAAATTGTTTATTAACACAATGTTATATCCACAGCAATATGGGAGTCCCCTTGAAAATAGGTACCGTATTTGAAAATGAGTTCCAGGGCACTTCATATTCCTAAGGGTAGAGATAAATAACTTAGAGCAGTGATAATGTATTATATTATCATATTATTATAATAGGTTAAACCTTTATATGCCCTCTCACAATAATTCCGATGACTTGGATCTCCAAATAGCATTATATGAGTTTGGAAGTTTGGATTAAATAGGAAGTAGTCGAGGGTCTATTGGCTTCACTCGTGTGTAATAAAACATCCTTTCACAAAAATGAAATTTAAATAGTGAATTTTGAATTGAATATGTAAATCGCTGAAACGTTGTAAACTGTGCAGCAAAAATACTGCAGACTGTTTACAGAGGCACATAATTAATTTTGTAGTATATGAGAAATTTGAAGCTGATGTTAAATAATTGTTCAGATTAAGTGAAAACTGTATTAATTGGAGTCCGAACTGATCAGGGTGCACTGTACTGTTTTACCAATTAAAATGGTGATAAAATAGTACAGGGTGCGGCAGAAAGAACTCCCCGATTTCTAAGGCTAGCGGTAGCGAGCAGCGGCGAGGTAGAGTGGTGGGGGTTGAGTCCTTAAAAAGATGCGTATGTGCCGTTTCAGTGTACGCCATGGCTTGGTCAGGGCAGCATCGCGCGTTTGTGGTGGAGCAGTTCATTCAAAATGGCGGATCGCCTGTAGCCACTCAACGCGCCTTTCGTATCCACTTCGCGCTTGGTCGACGGGACCCTGTTCCCGATAAAAAGACTATTTACTTGTGGGTTACCAATTTTCGACAGACTGGTTCTGCTCTGAAACGTAAACCTCAAGGACGAGCGAGAACTGTTACTGGCCTAGAAAATGTTGCTGCTGTTCGGGACTCAGTTGAACAATCCCCTCGACGTTCCGCGAGAAAACACGCAGCGGCATTACGAATGTCTGATCGTAGTGTCAGAAGAATTCTTCATCGAGATTTGAAGATGCATCCCTACAAGATCGTCGTGGTACAGGAGCTAAGTGATCGAGACTTTGATATGCGTACAGCATTGTGTCAGGATGTTCTTCGACTCATTCAGGAAGAAGATGTTGTGATCTTATCAGATGAGGCACATTTCCATCTCTCTGGTACGGTGAACAAGCAAAATTGTAGGTATTGGGCTGAAAACAACCCCCGTGAACTTCACCAACGACCACTTCATGGTCCAAAGGTTACAGTGTGGTGCGGTGTGTTTAACAGGGGTATAATTGGGCCGTACTTTTTTGAAGAAAATGGCGCGATTGTGACTGTGAACAGCGATCGTTATTGTGCGATGCTCCGTACTTTTTTGCAACCAAACTCGCTGATATCTTTCCTGATCTGGCCAATGTATGGTTCCAGCAGGATGGTGCTACTTCACACACGTCCCGTCAATCATTGACATTGGTCAAGGAAATGTTTCCTAGCCATGTCATTTCAATGCGCGGTGACATTGGATGGCCACCGCGATTGCCAGACTTGAGCCCGTGTGACTTTTTTTTATGGGGCTATATAAAGTCTAAGGTATACGAACATCGCCCTCAAAGTTTGGAAGCCCTCAAGGAAAGAATAAGGCATGAAGTTGCAGCCATCTCACCCGACATGACCGAAAGGTATTGGACAACTACCGGGAACATTTGAACCAATGTGTTAACACTGGAGGCCGCCATTTAAATGACATTTTATTTAAAACACGATAATTTTACATTATCGATTATTAAAACGACATTTTATTTAAAGCACTATAATTTTATATTTTTTTAAATGGCATAGTGTGTGTTTTTGGTTAATAGCAATAAAAATGTCATATCTTACTTTGTGTTGTTTTTATTAGCTTTCCTAATAGGGGAGTTCTTTCTGCCGCATCCTGTATAAATGGGTATCAAATATCGGTAATATTGATTTAGAATAGAGTACTTTGTGTAACTTTGTTACCAACCAAAATCAGGGGGTTTTAAGCAGAACCGCTTATATATAAAGGCCAATAATCAAGGAAAACTGGGTTCAGTTGCAAACCATCAAAAAAGTACCGGTACTGACTTTTCTCATGATTGTAATAATCTCCTGATAAACAGGCAATCACTGTAACCACCCCAGTCATCCAGCTAGTAAAAATATTTGTTTATCTACAAATACAAATACCTACAAGATACATGAACAAATGCATGAAACACAGTACAAAAACTATTGCTATATAGGCCCACTTAAGTTATGGTTTCTGAAATAAATACCTTTCAGTTTAGATTGGTTAAAAGTAAGTGTATACAATATAAATTTAGAAATTGACAGCAACCACTGTCAGAGGTTTAATTCAGTTTGTTCTTGTTCTATAACTCACTACAATACCACTTACCACGGAAATCAAATGTCCAGTTCAACAGGCAAGGCTATAACACTATGAGGCACAAAAGCTAAAACACAACCTTAAAACCAAATGGGAATGGTACACCGTTAATTGATCGGTTCCAGTAACAATGATCTCCGACCACCAATGCTAATCAGACTTCCTATGTAAACACAGCAATGTGAGATAGCATTGTGATTAGATTGTTTGTCCTTGCTGAATGTTGTAATTTTCCAAATAAATAAACTTATTTGAAAATTTAAGCTTAAAAAAGTAAGATTCTAGTTCAAAGATGTTTTCCCGGCCTCTGCTTCAATACAGGCAAAACTAAAAGATTGAAATTATTATCACCAATATTTAATGATAGTGTGAATAACATAAAACAACACGAGAAGTATTATATCCAAATGATGTTTTCAAACATTAATAATAAAATAGGTTATATTTTAACGGGAAAAACCCATAATGCCGAATAGAGGTGTTTAAAAAAAATAAATTAGTCAGGAATACCTTACCTGATAAGTAATTTAATTACTAATGTACATTCTGGGGAATTATATTTTCACAAAAGAATATTATGTTTGTTACCTCGTACTGTGTACCCTAATCTCCTGGGCTCTAAATTTCCTTTGGTAAAGCCAGTTAAACTATATCCTATTAAAATAAATCCTTCAAATAACATTTAGGATGTGTTATACATTTTATATAACAAATAAAAAAACATCTAGATTTAAAGTATGTACATTGCATTTAATGCTAAAAAAATCTAAAACTTAAAGCAAGCAGCAGAATTCACTTAGCTGGTGGTTTTGAATGAAAAAAATATATGCAGGCTAAAGTACTTGTGTTTTAAAAGGTGATGAAAAGTGATATATTTCACTAATTATTAGTGAAAACTGAAACAAGAAAGAGAAATTACTGTAGTGAGTATTAAGGAACGCGGCAGCGTTCCGCCCCGCCAAGTCCCCCAGCGGTACACAGCTGCTGCAGTGTATATATACATGACGTGACAAAGTGGCTTTTTTACTCGTCTATAGCTCTGAAGAAACAAAAGCTATTAAAATAATTGTTCATCCACTGGATAGGGGCAATCATTCTTGGCAAAATAAAAAAAAGAATTTAAAAAAAGGTTGTGTTTGAGCCAAGAAAAACTAGTTTGAAAATTCACAAATTTTCCGTGTTCTCCTTCTTCTCCGTAAATGTTGACGGACCTACAGCCCAAACCACTGGCTCAATTTTAATGTTTTTTATGTTGTTTGAAAGCCCTTAGCGTGTAGATGTGCCTTTTGAGGGTCACAAGTCGGTGCGTTGACCCATAAACCCTTGGCAAGCCCTCAAAGTACGATTTTGGCCCATTTAAATAACATGGGATTAAAATCAAAACAAAAGAAGGATCAGCTGCGATTAAATCTCAATTAATTAAAAATGTTAGAGAAATTCATAGGATCAGCTGAAAAATTATTTTAAAACTTTTATAAAGTATTTTTTTCAGGTATACCGAATGATTTGAGCTACTTACTATATAAAATTACTTAGAGCAGTGATATTCCCCGATACTTTCCATTGAAAAATGCAGTGTACCGATGGTACACTGGTACAGCAGCTCGTCATTTTTAACAGTTTAATACTACTTATCAAAACATATGAAACCTAGGAACTTGAAACTTAGTACTAGTACTAAGGTTAGTTTTAACATTGTTTCTTCATAATATTGCCAAAATTTATTTAACTAAATAAGGTTAGTTTTATGTTTTGATACACTAAAACAAATAAAACAATCGGGAAAATTCGTCTACGTATGTTAAACAAGCAAAAAAGTGAATGTAAAAAGTGATATGTAAATTTAGGATAAAAATGAGTTTTTCAATATTTGTTTTGCCTTATGCTATTTCTAACAAACCTAATCTGTTTGATTACATTTTTACTTCTCTAATAAGGGCTCAATTTACACTAGTCTTTAGATATACGGGTTTAATTATCGGAACACTTATGTAACACCAATGCATTTTATGTGTAGTTGTGCCCTGGTCTATATAAGAGAAAAGAGGATTTTTATTTGAACTGTTAATTTTCTACAAAAATAAATACAATCTAACAAAAAACCACTAAGTGGTAACACTTCCCCCGCCAAGTCAGCAACCCAAAAAAGACAATAAATCACCACTTTTCCGCCAAGTAAAACAATGTAATGTATGTAAGTTTGGCCACTTGGCGGCAGACTTTTGCTTGATCACTTTAAAAAATACCATAAAATTAGTTTCATTGAGCAAGTATCTCTCCCAATAGTACATTGCTAGATGAGAGCTTATTTTACAAAATTTGACCTTATTTGTGTCACATTTCATAAAATCATAATAGTGATGGTTTTATATTTACTGATTACCTCGAAATTATTATACTTAGTTGGACTAATTAATTAGAGAAGTTGATTTGTGAAATTATCCACCAACGTAACTTTAATGAAAAAAAAAAAAACAAGCAAAAGTCTGCCGCCAAGTTGCCAAACTTACATACATTACATTGTTTTATGTAGTAAAAAACATGTGTCTTCAATTCTTTATTATTGTTTTGTTGTGTTTGTAAA